GTGCCACTTGACGTCGCGGCACTACGCGTGATGCCGCATGACGAAGTGCCACTTGACGTCCCGGCACTACGTGTGGTGCCGCATGACAGTGCCACTTGACGACGCGATGCTACGCGTGGTGCCGCATGACGAAGTGTCACTTGACGTTGCGGAGCTACGTGTGTGTCCGCATGACGAAGTGTCAGTTGACGTCGCGGCACTACGCGTGGTGCCACATGAGGAAGTGCCACTTGACGTCGCGGAACTACGCGTGGTGCCGCATGACGAAGTGCCACTTGACGTCCCGGCACTACGTGTGGTGCCGCATGACAGTGCCACTTGACGTCGCGATGCTACGCGTGGTGCCGCATGACGAGGTGTCACTTGGTGTTGCGGAGCTACGTGTGTGTCCGCATGACGAAGTGTCAGTTGACGTCGCGGCACTACGCGTGGTGCAACATGAGGAAGTGCCACTTGACGTCGCGGCACTACGCGTGGTGCCGCATGACGAAGTGCCACTTGACGTCCCGGCACTACGCGTGGTGCCGCATGACAAAGTGCCACTTGACGTCGCGATGTTACGCGTGGTGCCGCATGACGAAGTGTCACTTGACGTTGCGGAGCTACGTGTGTGTCCGCATGACGAGGTGTCAGTTGACGTCGCGGCACTATGCGTGGTGCAACATGAGGAAGTGCCACTTGACGTCGCGGCACTACGCGTGGTGCCGCATGACGAACTGCCACTTGACGTCCGGGCACTACGCGTGGTGCCGCATGACAAGGTGCCACTTGACGTCGCGGCGCTACGCGTGGTGCAGCATGACGAAGTGTCACTTGAGGTCGCGGCACTGGTGCCGAATGACGAAGTGCCACTTGACGTCGCGGGGCTATACGCGTGGTGTGACATGACGAAGTGTCACTTGACGTCGCGGTGCTATGCATGGTGTCCGCATGACGAAGTGTCAGTTGACATCGCGGCACTACGCGTGGTGCCACATGAGGAAGTGCCACTTGACGTCGCGGCACTACGCGTGGTGCCGCATGACGAAGTGCCACTTGACGTCCCGGCACTACGTGTGGTGCCGCATGACAGTGCCACTTGACGTCGCGATGCTACGCGTGGTGCCGCATGACGAAGTGTCACTTGACGTTGCGGAGCTACGTGTGTGTCCGCATGACGAAGTGTTAGTTGACGTCGCGGCACTACGCGTGGTGCCACATGAGGAAGTGCCACTTGACGTCGCGGAACTACGCGTGGTGCCGCATGGCGAAGTGCCACTTGACGTCGCGACGCGTGGTGCCGCATAACGAAGTGCCACTTGACGTCCCGGCACTACGTGTGGTGCCGCATGACAGTGCCACTTGACGTCGCGATGCTACGCGTGGTGCCGCATGACGAAGTGTCACTTGATGTTGCGGAGCTACGTGTGTGTCCGCATGACGAAGTGTCAGTTGACGTCGCGGCACTACGCGTGGTGCAACATGAGGAAGTGCCACTTGACGTCGCGGCACTACGCGTGGAGCCGCATGACGAAGTGCCACTTGACGTCGCGATGTTACGCGTGGTGCCGCATGACGAAGTGTCACTTGACGTTGCGGAGCTACGTGTGTGTCCGCATGACGAGGTGTCAGTTGACGTCGCGGCACTATGCGTGGTGCAACACGAGGAAGTGCCACTTGACGTCGCAGCACTACGCGTGGTGCCGCATGACGAAGTGCCACTTGACGTCCCGGCACTACGTGTGGTGCCGCATGACAGTGCCACTTGACGTCGCGATGCTACGCGTGGTGCCGCATGACGAAGTGTCACTTGACGTTGCGGAGCTACGTGTGTGTCCGCATGACGAAGTGTCAGTTGACGTCGCGGCACTACGCGTGGTGCCACATGAGGAAGTGCCACTTGACGTCGCGGAACTACGCGTGGTGCCGCATGACGAAGTGCCACTTGACGTCCCGGCACTACGTGTGGTGCCGCATGACAGTGCCACTTGACGTCGCGATGCTACGCGTGGTGCCGCATGACGAAGTGTCACTTGATGTTGCGGAGCTACGTGTGTGTCCGCATGACGAAGTGTCAGTTGACGTCGCGGCACTACGCGTGGTGCAACATGAGAAGTGCCACTTGACGTCGCGGCACTACGCGTGGTGCCGCATGACGAAGTGCCACTTGACGTCGCGATGTTACGCGTGGTGCCGCATGACGAAGTGTCACTTGACGTTGCGGAGCTACGTGTGTGTCCGCATGACGAGGTGTCAGTTGACGTCGCGGCACTATGCGTGGTGCAACACGAGGAAGTGCCACTTGACGTCGCGGCACTACGCGTGGTGCCGCATGACGAAGTGCCACTTGACGTCCCGGCACTACGTGTGGTGCCGCATGACAGTGCCACTTGACGTCGCGATGCTACGCGTGGTGCCGCATGACGAAGTGTCACTTGACGTTGCGGAGCTACGTGTGTGTCCGCATGACGAAGTGTCAGTTGACGTCGCGGCACTACGCGTGGTGCCACATGAGGAAGTGCCACTTGACGTCGCGGAACTACGCGTGGTGCCGCATGACGAAGTGCCACTTGACGTCCCGGCACTACGTGTGGTGCCGCATGACAGTGCCACTTGACGTCGCGATGCTACGCGTGGTGCCGCATGACGAAGTGTCACTTGACGTTGCGGAGCTACGTGTGTGTCCGCATGACGAAGTGTCAGTTGACGTCGCGGCACTACGCGTGGTGCCACATGAGGAAGTGCCACTTGACGTCGCGGAACTACGCGTGGTGCCGCATGGCGAAGTGCCACTTGACGTCGCGACGCGTGGTGCCGCATAACGAAGTGCCACTTGACGTCCCGGGGCTATACGCGTGGTGTGACATGACGAAGTGTCACTTGACGTCGCGGTGCTATGCATGGTGTCCGCATGACGAAGAGTCACTTGATGTCACGTGATGTCATGATGTCAGTTGGCGTAACAGTGTCACGTGACGTGACGTCACAATTTTCCCACGATATTTAGCAGAAAAATATCTCCCCTAAATTCTAATATAAAATGGTGCGCGTAAAAAAAATTTAGTGCTATTGGCGACTGAAGCGAAATCGATGGCACTAGCGGTTAAACCAGAAATCTGTGGCAGCAGGTTCATTAGCTAGCCTTCTCGAGTCAATCAGATATTCACAGCGCCTGGCGGTCAAAACACGAAGCAGTGAATTAGGTTCAAAAACACGCGGGGAAAGTTGCCAATAAGCTTAGAAGGACTAAGCGATTTCATTTTTGCTGCGTGAGCCTGGAACGTAATTAAAAATGATCAGTTTATAGTCAACATTATACCAAGAGCAATCCAGTCTAAAGTCACTTGACACATCGAGGGGCTTTAATCTAGTCCTGTGAACAGCCTCCTCTACATGCGTGGGACGTAGTACCCTAGAATGGCGCTAACTCAGCGATTGGGCCCGAGCGCAATACCGGGCGCTCTTCGAAACAAGGATATGACACAAGGCCCAGCCGAATGCTGACACATCACTCGTGTCCAATCTGTGTTGGCGCTTGCTCTCACCGTGATGATGTCAACATTCTAAAACAGATGCTCGGATTATTTTATGGACTCTTTAAACATGCGCCAAATTGAGCCGCCATTGCCGACCTTCTTACCAAGATGCCGAGCCACTGAAGCGTGCATTGACGAGCCTCCAGAAAGGCCTATGCTGGGGGAGGAGGACATCGTAGCACCTAAAGTGGCAATAGGCTGTCCTGCTGTGGCAATGATGAAGTGAAGCGAACGGAATAAGAGGAAACAAAAACTGAAGGTTGGTTATGGCGGCACCCATGCACAGCTGCCTGAAAGCGTGTATTAGCGGCAAAATGTTTTGGTGGCGCCCTCATATGGTTCCCTCTCGTGACGTCATTACTATGCGAACAACAAGTTCCATGGTGTTTGTAATGAGCATGGTGGAAGCTTGAAATCATAGCGCTTTGAAGCCAACTCTGCCAACAGCGTCAAAATCGAAGATCTTACAGTCCACCTATTTCCGTCGATGAAACATCCTTTGCTGACGTCATAGTCAGCATTCGGCCAATTGTGCACGGCCGACCACAGCGACGCTTTTGATCGCGCAAGTCCCCGATGCTCCGCGTCAACTATTTTGTACTACATTGTCAAGGCTGCGAGAGCGCGTGGCACTGTCCTTTGCGCCTCATTTGCATGCGCTTGCGCAACTAGCTTTGACAGAGTTGGAGTACTGTGAAAGATAAGTTAGTTTTGACGACGTAGCACGCAGTAGTTGACGCCGAGTATACACGTTTGCGAGAAAGGCTCCTGCGCGCTGCCATTTTAAGCGATGCTGGCACCGCGTAAGGTATCCGCCTTACTGGGGTGCGTCCTGAGGGACACGTCATTTGCGTGCGCGATGACAAGATGGCGGCGTCTGGTGTATCGCCGACGGCCAGCGCTAGCGACACACTGGAGCTGGCTTCATAACGATCGCAGCCTCCGTTCCAGCACGTCGTTGAATCCAGAGCTGCCGCGAGCGCAGCCATCATTGATGTAAGGGCCATGCGGCTTCTGGCGGATTCTGATGAGCGCTTTGAGACTAGATATTTTTCAACCCTTTGAATTTCTAACAGGTTGAGCTTGTTTTTATTAAATTACTCGTGCACTTTCGCGGTCGAAAACAACACCTGTATGTTTTATACTTATTATTTTTAATTTCTTTCTGCGCTCAGTGTTGTATGCTTCAGCAAGAGACGCTTGGCAACATGGTACGACAAGCAGCGAACGTCCTGGCTGGAGAGCAGGTCTGCCTCAAAGTAACGTTGGTCTGCCTCACCTCGGCACGCGGTTCGAGGTTAAGTCTGGATCGCACTTGCAAATTATTGCAGCATCTGTGCATGGGCGGCGCCATAACAGACCTTCAGTTTTAGAGCGCAGCTCTTAGGCGCCCGACGCAGGAGGCTTCTGCACGGAATGCGGCTATAGCCAGCGTGCAAAAGGTTCCATGTCCGCGGCAACATGTCCGACGCTTCCCGTACGTACCTGCAATTTGCTCCTCGCTGAGCCCGTATTCCGTCTGAAAAGAGAAAGAGGTAGAACACAGAATCACACACCGAGTTTCCTGACTGTGCTTCGTGCATTACTCACAAACTGAAGTTGTACAATGGGCTAGCCAGCTGATATGAAACACAGCGACCCTTAGTTGAAAAAAAAAAAGTGTGACGTATTATCAACCTCTTAAGATTGATCGGGGCTCTTCTGTAATTTTGATGATTAACTATATCATTGCTATGTTGTATATACACTTACGTGACATATTTGTGTTGCCCAAGCATGCGTGCAACTTGCGATAAACTCCACCTACATCATGTTCCTCGACAAGGATCGGACTGGATCACTTTCCTTTTTAGAGTTACGGTTTTATTGCCCCACCGCCGTGAGCTCAAGTCTGCCAGGTTTTTACCGTGATTAGGGGCAGCCCAGCTACATCTATCCAAGGTTATTCGTCAATCCTTTCCTTATACCCAAGTTCATCCCTCCAAACTTAAAAAAAAACAAGATTTAAAAACAAGAAAAAAAACTTTAAAAAAACAAAAAAAACAAAAACACTGGAGCATGCAACTTATCAGGGGGCCGCAATGTGTTATACAGACAAACCGCGATTTTGTTTCGTTCCTTTTAATGCATTGTCACATCAGCATCCTCCAAGTCATTTGTCCTCCCGAATACAGCCACGCTCGAGCGCCATACCGCTCCGGGGGAGAGTTCTTCTCCTTAGCACAAGGATGCGCTGCGGCGAAGCGAGCTACGCAAAGTCGCGATGTCTACGTTACCGCAGGAGTAGCTTTTTCGTAGTGCACCGGAGAGTGGTGCGAGAAGCGCACCCAACGAAGCAGACTAACCCGCCCGAATAGACCACAGATAAAGAATATCGGGAAACGTCCGAATACACTTTCAAAATTTAGCACAAGCTTACCGTAACAATTCAGCAAATAGCGACGCTAGAACTATCGGTTTCTGTGCTGATGAAGATAAACTATACTGACTTCTGGCGCAATGTTAGCGGAAATTATTTACATTATTTTTTTGTGCAGTGTGTAGCTGGGTAAGCACCTAGTGGCAGTCTGGAGCAAATGGCGCAGCATTTATAGCACTTTATTTTTTAAAGAGCCGCAGAAAATTTTGTTTCAAAACCCAGGATTTCAGCTTGTATCTACGGGGGCAGAGTTGTCCACGGTGGGTTAGTGAGACTTGGATATAAATGGCAACGGAAAAATGTAGGGCACTGTTAGTGACGCTCGGTCCGTCGAAGTATCTCTTGAAACAAGCGGCGGGCAGTGCAGTGTGAAACAAGTCTGGGTTAATGGTTCCTTATTCCGGGAGAAGAGATATGAACGATTCCTTGGTTGCAGCCATAGCGACATCACGAGACGTTCCGCGATGGAGTATAAAGACGCACATACAATAACATATGTTAGGAGTTTTCTTTTTTTCGGTGTTCGTGAGGGGTCATATGCATCGTTTGCCGTACCAGAGTTGCCAGAGTTGCTTGTAGTATGGTGCCCGGAACGCGTCCCTGACTATTGCGTGTACAGCGTCCAAAAAAGTGGTCCCTCGATTTTCGCCTTGTCACGTCATACAAGTGTCACGCTGTTGCCGGTCGCGATTCTGGCGGCGTCCCAGCAGCGGTTCTCGATGTGGCAGGCGCCTGTTCTGCTGCAGGTCGCTCTCCAGTGTGGCGGTCCACGCAAGTTTCGGCAGACAGAAGTTGGGACGCCGCGACGACAGCAGCATCTCACGTTCGCTCGTGCTTCTCGCCAGCATTTCTATGACCAACCGCCAGGATCGCGACATCCGACAGCGTGACACCTGGGTTTTTATGATGTCATTCGTGGCCACTTTGGGACCACGATGTACGGGCGGGATAGGACGCTAAACACACCAGTCGGAAGCGCTGCTCCAGACAGCACATGTCGCAGCAGTAGCTCATCAGGCCAGCGTCCCCATCTGGCATATGCCACATATCTGAGAACACATGGTTGTTCTCAAATAGTGACGATAATCTCGGGGCTTTTTTTTTTTTTTTTTTTTTAGCACGCATGACGAGAAGGCAAAATGACTTCCGCGAACGTCTCAATATTTTGTAGAGCAGCAGAAACAAGTGCTCTACTGCCGACATTTTGTGGCAGTTGTTGTTATGTTATACCACGTAAAGACGTTTCTGCCAAACGCATAAAGCCATCATTAGAATACGGGGCTCAAACGGTTTGGGTCCCCCCATCAAAGCGTTGTCCCCCTGTTTCCAAAACTTTCGCGCTCGAATATTCGCGCAGCCAAACAAAATACTTGCTGGGCACCCGTGCCGCAGGTTTTCGCGTTGACGTTCAGTTTCGCATCGGACGAAGAAGACAGACAGCGAAGGCAAGGACGCGGGTGACTTATTGACGCCTGACTCATTGGATCGACGCCAGGGCTTCCTGAAGGCGGACCGGGAAAATATGCTCGCTCCTTCTCCAGCTTCCCTCTCGCTCTCCTTGATATCTTAAGGAAGAGGAGGAGAAGGGCGAACTTTGACGTCAGTATGTCACAATTCTCGGCTTGTTTGTTTACACGCCGGCCGAGAGGCTTCAATGGCGCTGGGCGTGTCGACTCGTCTCTCCGGAAGCTACGAGCCTGATCGCTTCTAAAGTCACTTTGAAAAGGACCGTGAAAATTATTGTTTTAACTTCAGTTACCGTAAGTGTTATTTGGAACGAAGCCTCGAAATGATTTAGGCACAACATATGCGATTAACGCGGGTTAACCGTCAACCAAGTTAGAGTTATTGACGAAGTGAAAACAGCAGGAAGGAGCTTCGGTAGTTTCGCCTTCGGTGCGAACTTATTCCTGCTTTCAAGAACACTTCGAGAACGAGGCTGAAAATGCGATGAAGACCTAATATAAAAGCCTGTGGTGCGGCATCGAGCACGGTGAAGCGTAATGCAAGCGTCCACGCGGCGCAGAATCGTTTTTTTTTTTTTTAGGTCTACTCTAAAAAAAGCCCGTGCGTCTACTTTCCCGCACAACACTTGGAGAACCAATCACCGCAACTTACGAAGGCAGCTCAGCGGATGATGCCGAAACATATATTTAGACCAAAAAACGCAGCCTGATTTGTGACATTAAGCAATGCAAGCGTGACGTTTTGAATTGCTTAGGGCCGGTTGCACCAACGTCGCTTAGCGCAAAGCGGAGCTTAGCCGAGAACTTAAGCTTAGTTTCGGCTTCGTTCGGTTGCACCAAACTCGCTTATCGCTAAACTTAGCACTAAACTACGCTTAACTTAAGCGCTCAACATTGGGCGCTTTGTTTTTGGTTGTTTCTTAATCCTGGATTAAAAAGATGGCGGCTGGTTTGTCGCGGTCGACGCGGTGGACGAAATTGGTTGTGCAAAGTGTTTTAGGCTACATCAGCGTGAAAGTTTCGACAAAATGACTTTCGATTGTGACAAGGATGCAAAATATTGTCGCGTGAAGTGTTGATCGACCCCTGTTTTCAAGTTGGCTCTCCACTTTCAGGGCGTGTTAGCCCTAACCGAGAAACGTACGGAGCTGTGGGGCTCACGTCTGTATTCCCGTTGGTTCTTCTGTCAACGAGCTTATTCGTATGTACTTACTGATTTTCGCATAGCTGTAACGTATTGCTATTTACCACCTTGTTTATCTACACTTGCAGCGCGTATCCTTCAATCTGATCAGCGCGTTGAATAGTGGCAGTACATGATCTCGGCGATCAGCTGATTGTCGACACCTCTGCCGTTTGCATTAGATTGCGGCGCTTTTAAGTAATAAAACAGCGAGAATTCAATTTCTTTCGTTTTCTGAGTTTTGAGACAATCTTCAGTGAATTTTCCTTATCTCGCGAGTAGAATCTTGGCTTCAGAAAACTGTATCGTTCCATAACTGTAACTTTTTTGGTGATCGCATTTTTTTTATATACTTTGCTTTATATCTTTCATTCGTTTCCCGAGAACGAGATACTGTTGTTTCCGAGTTGTGCTCTGTGATGGTGTTTTCCCTTTACTTTTGTCGTTTGTTGTCATTGTGACGATGGTTCAGACTATATACCGGAACACGTTTTCAATAAAATTCAGTTGAAAGTTGCGCCTTGTTGTGTCCTCCGTAACTTTTTTGGTGATCGCGATTTTTTAGGAATATTTTGCTTTATATCTTTCATTCGTGGCGACGACAAATCGTAACGACTACTATGTTAGATTCGTGCATTGCTGTATCGGGGCAGGCTGGGGCAGGTGATGCGAAGAGACGACCGTTCTTATCGGCACGATGTGATATACTAGTGGGAGTTTTTTTTTTTTTTTTTTTTTTTTCTGAACTTGACAGTGTGAAACTGAAGTCCGTTTGAGGCTGTAGCGGATGTTCAACGACGGTGCAGTGCAGTTCTGTCACCTTGCTGATAGCAACGAGTACCGTCGATCCAAGGTCTCGTGACCTGACCTCTCGACGACTTCTATTCGACGATTTCCGGGCATTTTCGCAGCTGCCGTGGCGAGTTCGTCACTGTTTTGAACTTCATCGGTCTCAGGCTTGACTTGGTTTTAGTAGTCATCTTACCTGCCTACTTATATCCATGGTGTTTTGTCTTCAGCGATGTAGCGAGTAGTGTCCTTCTCGCGTTCGGTGAGATTTGGGGCCCCCGATGGCTCCTTCGCCTCAAAATGTGAGCACGAAAACTACTACCACTGTCAAAATATCCTGTTATCAACCGATATTAAACACACAATCACTGATGTAAAGAGCATTCGTGTTTATTTGAAGCTTTGACTTCTGTTACTGAAAGTTAAACGAAAAAATGATTGAATTTGGAGACCTTTAATTTGTTACTCACCGAAGAAATACAGCGAAAAGCAGACGCCGACGACAACTACTACGGCAGTTGTTTTTTTTGTTTTTTTTTGTTTTTTTTTTTGTTTTTTTTTGTTTTTTTACATCACGTGATTCCTCTCCGCCAATCGTATTCGTCGCTCTGAGCGTTCCCTAGTTTGCTCTGTTTGTCCCTAGATTCCCTACGCAAATCCAG